TATCAATACCCGGCAAAATGATTTTTAACCCGCATTTGGCGGGTTGGCGGGTGTTAATTTCGAACCCTGCCTGTATTCCCTTACTACTCCAGGTGTCACATTGTGGGATGCTAACTTTTGGCAAGATGGCGTGCTGAGCAGTCACGTCTACAGCTTGCTACAGTTGTTGAGTGAGCTGACTATAGTGTTACTGCCGCTAATGAGGCAAATGCCAAACAGAAAGGCCACAACTTTGGTGACATTATGCAGGTAGCCATTTCTACACAGTGAAGACAGTTGAGCCCCCGTCATATGACACTATAACTACCACATTCTTTATGATGCCCTTAAATTCATCAATGGATATAAATATGGCTAATTTTAAGTTTTTCTGCATTCCATGTCCGTAGTGCGTAATAAGAAAATGCTGTTTTCCCCAGATCGGTCAAAACCTGGGCCCAGTTTTTCAAAAGTAATCCAGTGGTATTTTGGATCACGGATTGGATCAAATCTTGGAAATGGGTTTTTCAAAAGTAAAAGTGGGATCCTGAATTAAGATCAGACCACGTAATCCAATTTTACATTTGATTTGGATCAAACCTGCCCTTTGGGTTATTCAAAACTTTGAACTCAGATTGGGATCTATTTGATCCAAAAAAACAGGATTATCCTGATCCCATCAGAAGGGTGGATTCAGTTGTGATTTTTTGACCCAAATAAACCAAATAAAATATATATATATACATTTTTTTTTTAAGTGAATGATCACAAACTTAATGGTTACTGATGATATATAAATTCCTTCATATTTGAAGCCTATATGAAGCATGTCACATATAATGATATTGAGATATGGTAAACAACAACAAGAAATTAATATCAAAGCTATCACATGTCAAATAAATGTCACTGTTGCTCATAGCTTTATAATTCCACAGTATATTAATGACAATGACCACAACAGATATACTCATTTAGTCATTTAATAGGAAAAGTAATTTCTCACAATTGCATCTCTAATTGCATGTCCAGTGTGTCCTTCATTATGTAAGAACATTGGTGGCTGTTCTGGTTCTACATCAGGCTCAGGTTTATCAAAATTGTCATCAAGAGGGACATGACGCCTGGTTGCAATGTTATGCAAAACAATGCATGCAAGGATTATGTTGCATGCCACCTTGGGTTGCACTCGCAAGTAGTTAAGACATGCAAACCTTCTCTTCAGGACTCCATTTAAGCGATCAATGGCACATCTTGTTTTGCAATGTGAAGAGTTGAAGCAAGACTCCTCAGGTGTGTTTATGTTAATGCTGTGCCTCCCCTTTCGATTGACATAATCCCATTCCCTTTCATAAGGTGCTTGGATATGCACATGAGTACAATCAATAGCACCAATAGTGCTAGGCATGTTCCCCATTTGTAAAAACTTGTGCTTAGTCTGAGCTGTCTGGTCATCCTTGGGAAAGTAAACAAACTGATTGATCAGACTGCCCAGTGCTACTGACATAGCCTTCACCACATTACTCACGGTTGTTTTTCTTACTCCCATGTTGTCACCAATTACTTGGTAGAAAGTCCCACATGCGTAAAAGCGCAGAGCGATTAAGCACTGTTCCTCCACGGATAAAACATGACTCCTTTGGTTTTGGTGTTGGAGTGTTGGCCTGACAAGATCTGCAATGTACTTGATGTCATCTCTCCCAAAATGAAAATGTGCATACAGTTCTTCTGATGTGTATTGCTTGAGTGGTTTTGCATGCTCAGCATCCACCCTTTGACGGTACCTTCTCCTACGGTAACAATGAACAATACCCGCCATGTGGATGCATCTGTAGGCAAGAGAAATGAGTGCAAAGACATGATGTCTTTAAATGGTTTCACCCATTAACAAGCAATGAGCTGATTAGTGTAAGCCTAATTGAGCACAAGCCAAAGCAATCATGCTCAAGGCTTTTAAGATCAGTGTTGCTACACCAAAGAGTTGGAACCATGGACTCAAAAGGGCCTAATTTCACTGTGGCAGAAACCTGTGCACTGCTGGAGGGTGTTCGAGTCAATTTTGCCTCAATAGTAGGAGGTTTCAGTTCTGCAAAGGGTGGAGAAGTGACTAAAAAAGTAAAACACAATATTTGGGAGGACATAACCATTCATGTCAATTCCATGGGGTCTGGCCAAAGGAGGACCATAAAACAAGTTATGTTGCGATGGAAGAACCTTAGAGCCGAGGCGACAAAAGACCTTACTGAAGCCATGAACCCCCAAACAGGTAACAAGCCATATAAAAGGGGTGATTTCACTGATATGGTACTTGATATAATCGGAGGAGAAAAATCAGAGGCTCTGCATGGCATTGAAGGCATAGAAGCAGATGGAGAGGCCACAATTACAGAGACTAGGACTTCAGAAGAATGCGAGCAAAATTCTCCTGCAGAGGAAATGTTTGTCCTAGACTTAACTTAAATTTTTTTGAAAAACTGGGCCCTGGGGTACAATATAAAACAGCCACTTTATAAGGGAGGACTTCGGAATCCAGCTGAAACAGAACAGCACTGTGATAACCAGCGTCGCCAAGGCT